TTAATTATGAAGATAAGAAAAACTCATCTATTTATGGATTACCATTACAAGTAAATAATAACCAAGAGATTTTTTATAATTATACCGAACATAAACGAAAATTATTTAATATGCTGGTAGGTATCCCTATCAATAATTATCTAGTAGAAGATAATATTATAGATATAAAGAACAATCCGGATAGAAAAAATTTCGATTGGATAATTCTCAATTTTTGTCTTAGAAAGAAAATGGATATTAGGGCCTGGATCAATATGGATACTGACGCCAACAGTAATAAATATACTAAACCTAGGGCTAATAATTATCAAATAATTGAGAAAATCGACAAGAAAGATCTTTTTTATCCCACGATTCATCAAAATCAAGAAATGAATCCATCAAAAAAAAAACTTTTTGATTGGATGAGAATGAATGAAGAAATACTAAGTTGTCCCATATCGAATCTCGAACTTTGGTTTTTCCCAGAATTTTTGATACTTTATACTTCGTATAAGATTAAACCATGGTACATACCAATCAAATTTCTCCTTTTAAATCTTAATGTAAATGAAAATGCCAGTGGAAATAAAAATAAAAAAACGACTGGAAAGAAAAAAAGAGATATCTTTATATCAATATTTTCAAATGAAAAAAAATATCTTGAATTAGAAAAACAAAATCAAGTAGAAAAAGAATGCGGAATCAAAACAGATTTTGAATCAACTCTCTCAAATCAAGAAAAAGATATTGAAGAAAATTATGCGGTATCAAAGATGAAAAAAAATAAAAAACAATCCAGGACCAACATGGAAGCGGAGTTTGATTTCTTACTAAAAAGGTATTTGCTTTTTCAATTGAGATGGGACGATTCTTTAAATAAAAAAATGATCGATAACATCAAAGTATATTGTTCCCTGCTTAGACCGATAAACCTAAGAGAAATTACTATAGCCTCTATTCAAAGGGGAGAAATAAATCTGGATCTTCTAATGATTCAGAAAAATTTCATTCTTACAGAATTGATTAAAAAGGGAATATTACTTATTGAACCAGTTCGTCTGTCTAGAAAAAATGAAGGACAATTTATTATGTATCAAACTATAGGTATTTCGTTGGTTCATAAAAGTAAACACACAATTAATCAAAGGTATCGAGAAAAGGGCCATGTTGATACGAAGAATTTTGATGAATTCATTTCAAAACATCAAAAGATGACTGAAAATCGAGACAAAAATCATTATGATTTGTTTGTTCCTGAAACTATTTTATCCCCTAGACATCGTAGAGAATTGAGAATTCTAATTTGTTTCAATTCTAGGAATAGAAATGGTATACCTAGCAATGCATTTTTTTGTAATGAAAATAAGGTAAAGAGTCCGGTTTTGAATAAAAGCAAAATAAATCAAAATAATATAATTAGATTAAAGTTCTTTCTTTGGCCTAATTATCGATTAGAAGATTTCGCTTGTATGAATCGCTATTGGTTTGATACCAATAATGGCAGTCGTTTCAGTATGGTAAGGATACATATGTATCCGCAATTTAAAAATGAACTTAAGCGTGTACTGAAAAAAAGTGAAATACGGATTGATTTTATTTCCCGTACTATATTGCATATATGAAGACAAATAGATGCACACCTATATTGTTTTCTATTCCATTATGATACACGATACTAATTTAATGACATATCAATATCTAGAAATAATGCAAAAATCTTCTTAGTTTATTTTTAAATTTTAGATATAATTTTTTATCTTTTGTGAGTGCAGACAACTATCTTTTTGTTTACCTATTCGAATACAATTTTCAAATTGGAAATTATTCACAAAATTAAGATTATTCACAAAATTAAGATTATTGTATTGTGTATGCCAAATAAAAAAAAAAAAATGAATAACATTATTATTATTGATCAATAAAAAAATCTAGCAAAGCAATAAGGGCCGGTGGGGGGGAAGATTTCATTTTATGATAAAAAAGTCATTCATCTCGGTTATTTCACACGAAGAAAAAGAAAAAAACAGGGGGTCTGTTACATTTCAAATACTAAGCCTCACTAATAGGATACGAAAACTTTCTTCACATTTGGAATTGCACAGAAAAGACTATTTATCTCAGAGAGGCCTCCGTAAAATTTTGGGAAAACGCCAAAGGATGCTGTCTTATTTGTCAAAGAACAATAGAATACGTTATAAAGAATTAATTAATCAGTTAGATATTCGGGAATCAAAAATGCGTTAATTTGAATTTGAGGAAGCGTTTTGAATTATTGAATTATTTGATTTATTAGATCTTGATTTTTTTTTATTTTAATGAACTTATTTTCGCTTTTCAGTAATTCATGAAAGAATCAATCGAGGAAAAAGAAAAACCTATGAATATACCAGCTCCAAGAAAAGACCTCATGATAGTAAATATGGGTCCCCACCACCCATCAATGCATGGTGTTCTTCGACTCATCGTTACTCTCGATGGTGAAGATGTTATTGACTGTGAACCAATATTAGGCTATTTACACCGAGGAATGGAAAAAATTGCGGAAAACCGAACAATTATACAATATCTGCCTTATGTAACGCGTTGGGATTATTTAGCTACTATGTTCACAGAAGCAATAACCATAAATGGACCGGAGTTGTTGGGAAATATCCAAGTGCCTAAAAGAGCCAGCTATATCAGAGCAATTATGTTGGAGTTGAGCCGTATAGCTTCTCATCTCGGCCTCTAAAGGCCCCGTTTGGCTGAAAGCCGTAGCTGTTGTTTTTCTTGAAACTGTTTTAGTCAAAAACTGTGCCGTTTCGGGAATCTGTGTTTTAGTACCTCTTAGGGTCGGATTTTGAAAATCTTTTCTTCATCAAATTTCTTCATCTCGTCGAAATATAAAATTGTCACTTTTGTGAAAAATCGAGATTCAGCTTCTAAGGGTCCCGTTTGGCTGAACCAGTGGCTGCCAGTTTTTTTTTCGAAACTGTGTTGGACAGCTTGTCCGTTTTTGCCAAATGGCTTCAAACTTGGTTTTAGAGTTAAAATTAGGTTTTGTCATAGTAACCGAAAATGTTCAAAACATCCAGGGCTATAAGTTCAAGCTTTAAAACATTAAAAACTCTCGCTCTATGGTCCTCATTTTCGCGGTCAAAGTCACCGGAAAATTTTTCCTCTAATCCGAAAATAAGCAACTTAGATTAAGCATAAACATACCACATCAAACTAAGCTCAAAACTCACAAAACCAACATAAAACTCACACACTCTTATTACAATCTTATCTCTTCAAGAACCACAAATTTACATCCATAAATCCAAGCTTAAAGTTGGCTAGAAATTAATGGAGGGGAGTTTAAGAACTTACCCTTGAAGAATTCTCTCTTTCTCTTGAAAAACCCTTGAACTCCTCTAGGATTGTTAATGGCTTGAAACTATAAGAGTATAAGGAAATTTGAGAAGAATATTTCTCTATTTCAAACTTTCCCAAAACATGAAAAAGAGAGGATTTAGAGTTTCTTTACCCTTAGAGGAATGCTTGACTAGTCTCCTCCTAGAATCCCTTAATCTCCTTCTTCTTCTTCTATGGTGTGCTAGGGGCTCAAGTTTTGGAGAGTGGGAGAAAATATTTGAGAGGAAATGGAGAGTGTGTGGCCGGATTTTTGAGTGGGGAAAAAGCTAGGAGAAAAAAAATGAAGCTTATCCTATGTTGGTTCCTTTTATAGGCACTTGGAAATTATTTTTTTTAACACCAATTCCACTCCATCATTCAACCAAATTTTTGGTTCAAATCCCCCTTTCTTGGCCGGTTTTGGAAGGAGAAAAGAAGAAGCAACTTTGCCATTAATTCCCCTTCAACCACTAACATCACATCACCTTAACATAAAGTCCTCTAGCACACTCCACTAGCCAAAGGTTTGGCTCTATTTTTTCATGCATGGCCGGCCAAGTGGAGGAAGGGAGAGAAAAAAATCTCACCTACCCCATTGTACTCTTGTCCACTTTCTTAAGTTTCCCTTAGAAACTGATAAAAATTATACTGACTATAAGAGAGTAACTTAGCTAACAGGAATTCGTTTCCATTTCTGACGGTTCCTTTTTCTACTGCTTATTTACAGTTAAATGTTAAATCCTTGACTGCTTTGGATATCACATTAAATTCTTATTCGCGTAATATCTTGAACTGTTTACAGTCTTGAAATTAATTCTAGACTTAACAAATTCTAAATTTAACTATCCTGCGTTAATTTTCAGAAATGACGTTGTTTCTGACGGTGTCAACTCCCGAGTTTACATTATACCCTTCTACTATGGGTATTTATCTTCTGACTTTGACCTAGCTGTCTGGCAATTAAGGATTTTCTCTTTTTTTAAAAATGTCAGTGCGTTTTTTTTTACGCTGCTAACATCATGCTGTGTTTGGAGATTCTTGAAATTAAGATTCTCAAACTATACTTGTACTGAAAATTATTCCGCCTTAAAGTACGGCAAGAATTTATCGATCGAATTTACTTGATCGAAAACATGAACTTAACATGAAATCTGCTACAGAATTTAGGAATACATATATTGATTCCATAAATCCTTCAGTCACATAATATTTTCTAGGAAAATCCTTAGCTTAAATAAATAAATTGTATTATTTAAAGTCTGGAATTTTCTTAGTCATTACAAAAACTAACCCCAGATCCACCAAGAGCAGAACACCATCCACATGCAAAACAAGGTAGGAAAAAAAATCAAAAGAAAAACAAAAAAACCACACAGGATCGGGAGGGTAGAGCTTGTCAAAAGACGGCTCAGCCAACTTCGGTCTCCACAAAGTGTAAACTTATCGGTAGCTTCTTGAGAGGAGAAACCCTAACTACTCAAGAAAAAAGAGAAAAATATATGAGCTTTAATTTGTGTGATACCTATTATTCCCGAAAATAGTATTTCCCAATACAAGAGTATCATTTTAATTTTATAAAAGATACATAAATATATATATATATACATATTTATTTTATTTTATACTTTTCCCCTTGAGAATGCCAGTACACGCCGTTATTCTCAAAGCATTCAAACTTCATAAACTGAACACCAGCACCGCCGCGGCCTATAAATAAATCAGCATTTAATTTGATTTAAATTATCACAGCAAAGCAACATTCCCGCGCCAAAATAACATAATCTCTCTCTCTCTCTCTCTCTCTCTCTCTTCAAATCCCTGAGAATTTCAAATTTCTCCCTCCACCTCCATGCCATGGAGAAGGGTCTGATATCGGTGGACCGGTGGTCCGGAGAGAGCCAGGCCTACTTCCTGACTCACCTCCACTCCGACCACACCAAAGGCCTCTCATCTTCCTGGTCCAAGGGCCCCATCTTCTGCTCCCGCCTCACCGCCAAGCTCTTCCCCTTCAAATTCCCCGATTTCAGACTCTCCTTGCTCCGCATCGTCGCCGTCGGCTCTTGGCACTCCCTCTCTCTCCTCTCTTCTTCCACCGGTTCCAAGACCGTCCTCCAGTTCATGGCCATCGACGCTCACCATTGTCCTGGTACGTTTCCTCGTCTCATATCGCTCACCACCTGTTTGCTTTAAGTCCTCGAAGAACAATTTGGATGTCGTTTGGTGAAGGATAAGGATCAGATCTGATATAATTTCTGCGATGGTATCTGTAAATTGCGAGATGAATGTTAATATATTATAATTACGACGATTAAGCTGTATAATTGGATTTGTTCATCAACTGGTTGATTTAAGCATCAAAAAGAAATTTGAATGTCATTGATGAATAGTAAGGATTAGATATGATGTAAGTACTACGATTAAACCTATAAATTGTAGGTGTTTGTCATATTGGATTGCTCGCCAGCTGTTTACTTCAAGTTCGCAGAAGATAATTTGAATTTCAATGCTGAAAAGAATTGAGGACTATAAATTATGTAATTACTAGATATGATCTACGAAGTATATGAGACAATTATGGTCTTTATGGATAATTCGAGTGAAAATTAAGGTCTAGCTGATATAATTACTAGAATAATAAGTTCTACAAGTTTTATGAGGCGATTGTGTTCTGTCTATAAGCAGGTGCCATTATGTTCTTGTTTCGCGGAGACTTTGGCTGTTTGCTATACACTGGTGATTTCCGGTGGGAAGTTACTAGTGATAGGGCAAATCTTGCAAGGAACACGCTCCTCAATGCTCTTAATGGTAGTTCAGTTGACATCCTTTACTTGGATAATACATACTGCAACCCCTCGCATGATTTTCCGCCTCGAGAATTTACTGCGCAGCAGGTGCACCTTTCTGTTTCTCAAAGAGGTTCTGTAGTTATGAAAGGATAATATTTGGCATGAACTAACCATAATTCACTAAGCATTGTCAAATTCTTAAAACTCTTGAAAGTCAAGGTTCAACGTGTTCTTATGCTTGCAGCTTCTCAACTTGGTTCCACATTTGCAATTTTTAGTTCATTCCGACCTATATGGTTTTGCTCTCTAGGATGCTGGTATAGTCGTGTTGCATTTGTATAATCACACTTATTTTGTCATTGGGACTCTGTATTTAATGAAATGCATTGGTGGATGAGACTGAATGAACACTAATTTGATGAAAAACTTTATGGATTTATACTGCATCTAAGCATGTCATACCAAAAAATGGCAAGATTAAAGTTTCGCTTTATAACCTAGATTTAAACCCCAAAAAAAAAAAAAAAATAAATAAAAGGGGAAAAAGAAAAGACACCGTGCTTTGCATAAAAATAGAAGGGTCAACGCACTATGAAGTTTAGGTCACTCTTACCAGTTATTTTGATGGGCGCTTGCAGATCGTTGATATAATTGCCTCTCATCCTGACCATGATATCATCATTGGGATTGATTCTCTGGGAAAAGAAGATCTTTTGCTGCACATTTCGCGGGTCCTTAAAATAAAGGTTTGTTATATGACCTGTAATAGAAGTTTTACGCTTCTCAGCCATAACTGTCTGGTTATAATTAGGAAGAGCATAACCTATTCTTAGCGCAAGGTTTTGGAGCTTGACTCGTTGTCACTGTTTCCTCTGCTAGGAATCCTGTCCAAATGTTGGTTATTTGAATATGCATACTGTTGCGTTTTATTTTTGACCAACGAATTACTTTTGGTGTGCTAAAATCATGTTTTTGTCTGTTAGTTGTCTAAGATTTGTCCTGTGTAGGGGCTTACACTAATTTATGGTTTCTTCTTCAAAGATTTGGGTGTGGCCAGAACGCTTGCAAACCATGCACCTTCTTGGATTCGATGAGATGTTCACAACTAAGACTTCTCTTACTAGAGTGCGAGCTGTTCCTCGTTATAGCTTTAGTGTTGAAACCTTAGAAGGGCTGAATACAATGCGTCCAACCATTGGGATCATGCCATCTGGTCTTCCTTGGGTGGTAAAACCCTCTGAAGGAAGTGACAATCTTTTTGGTTCTCTTTTAACTTCTCGCTACAACATAAGTAAATGTACTGAAAATGGTGGGGCCCGGACTTATAAGTCAAATGGGAGTTTAGGATCTACTGAAAGGTTTCACAAGTACATTTATTCTGTTAGCTACTCTGATCACTCGTCCTATTCTGAGATAGAGAACTTTATAAAGCTTGTTCAGCCAGCCAACATGAAAGGCATTGTGTCATCATCAACTTGCTATGTTGATCCTATGTACTACTTTGGCCGCCTTTGTGGAGTAAACCAACCAGCACAGAGGCTACGCCAAAAGCATAAAAGGAAAGAGAGTGATGAAATAACTTTGGTTACCAAATCTATATTTGGCCGGAATATTTCTGAGGAACTAGTGAAGAAATTGGCAAGGAACATGAAGGTTAAATACGTACGTGCACAAGCAAGCAGAGTAAGTTCACGCAGGCGAGTAAGGTGTGGCGCAAAGATTCTGGAAGATGACTGTCGTGACTGAATATTGCTCTGTTAAAACTCTTTTAACAGAGTGGTTTTTTCTTTGGCGTAGGAACTAAATGTTGTGGACTTACGCTTATGAATTGGCTTCTAAAGCTCTTAATATCGGGATTCGGTAGTGCAGATGTGTCATCTCTCTCTCACTCTGTGCCTTGGCCCAGAGAAATTATTGCTGTATAGAGTTGAAAAGCAATACCTTGTCATGTGAATCTTTTCTATAATGCAATTATATGTTATACTGTTTTGGTTTCTTTTCTAGAGTTGGCGAGTGAAATTGGTAATCATGATTGATTCAAGTGGTATAGATGGTCAATATCTTGCTATTATATGATAAAGAAACCGTGCCGGTGTTTGCGGTAAAAAAAAAAGAATCACAAATGGGCTTTTAAAAAAAAATGAGAAAATAAAATAAAACTTTGTGCTGACCTTAAAAAAAAATAGTAAAATCAAAAAAGAAAAAAGGAGATTAAAAAAATACACGTTTTAAAATGTGGAGAGAGAGTATAGAACGTAGGTAATGTTTGGTAGATGGATTAATTCTTTGATTCGAATCATGATTCGTAGTTCGCTACAGTATTTTCTCTCATAAAAAATACACATAAATTAAAAATAATTTTAATCACATGATTCTAATTTATGAATTAAACGGATTCGTAGTGTGTGCAAAATGTGAAGTAGTGATTAGAAAAAAGGAAATGGTGCAGAAGGTGGTGTGTGTAAAACGTGGGGTAGTGATAAAAACTGTTATGGAATTCTTTTATATAAAGAAAAAAAACTATCCGGAGGACTGATCATCTGAGAAGACGTGCGTGTGTGCAGAAAAAAGTGAGAGAAAACAAAAAAAAGGCTTCTCAAGAGACTCGGTGCGTGTGTGCAGAAAAGTGAGAAAGTAAAAAAAAGTGCGTGTGTGCAGAAAAGTTAGAAAGTAAAAAAAAAAAAAAAAAAAAAAGAGCAAAAAAACGTGTGGGCAGGGAAGAGGGGAGAGAAACAAAAATTTTTTTTGTGTAAATACTTTAAATCAAATCTTATATATATATTTTAAAGTGTGATTATGATTTACTTTTTAATACTTTTTATGAAAATAAATCTCATATGCACTTTATAGTGTGAGATTTTTTATTTACAGCTCTTAATAAATTCTTAATGTACTCATAGTGTGTAGTTTCTCGTTCTTGTTACAATCCTACGATTATCACTAAGACTTAGATTTTTTTTTAGAGATCTATATAAGTGTAATTCGAGTAGAAAACTCATATGAATTACACTTTAAGGATCGGCATATGAAAAATTATGTGCATATGATCTATATTAAAATATTCATATGAATCACATTATACCCGCTAAAAAATAATTAAAGAAAGAAGATTAAAAAAAAATTGATTGATGTCTCCGTTTCTTGTATTTTTTTTAGTCAAAAAGACTAAGAGCCCGTTTGATTAGAGGATTCGTTCTCTGATTTAAATCATAATTCATAATTTGTTATAATATTTTCTCTCAAAAAAATATACGTAAATCGAATATAATTTTAATCTCATAATTTTAATCAGACTCTAAAACAAAAAAAAAAACTGACCGATGGGATGACTCTGTATGACCAGAAAAACTTCAAAATTGTCAATCTGTTAAAGCAAAAAATGCATATATATGTGTGAGAGAAGAATGGAAAGACACTGATACACGTTTTCAAACCTCTGTAATAGACTACCAAGAAGAAAAGAGGAGAGCAAATACTCGGGCTAATAGCTCTACACGTCAATCGAGATGTGATTGATCTTCCTCTTTATTCACTCACGTACACACATATATATCAAAAGTGATGGTTCATATATATATATATATAAATATAAATGAAAGACACGTTAGACCGGATGAAGATGTAGGAAATCAACGGCTTGTTTTTTTTTTTAGTGAAAAATTTAAAAAAATGTAACTTGAGTTACAACTTTATTCGAGTTTATGTTCTTTTAAGTTTAAACTCGAGTGTAAATTCGAGTTCAAACTCGAGTTTAGGACTAAAATTCGAATTCAAGTTTCCACTTCAACTCGAGTTCAGAAATTCGAACTTAAATTAATGAACAATATTTTTTCTATTCTTAAAAATGCTATAACTTTTTCGTTTTAATTCTGATTGAGATGATTTTTTTTCTATGCGTTGACAACGAAAAGACGAATAAAACCATACCTATATACTCTATTAAAATTTTTCATCAGCATTGAGTTTTTATTAAAATACTATCTAAATACAAATTTAAGTTTTGACTCAATCAAACATAAACTCAAAAAGATTCTTATCTCAAAACACCCCGTTCATTTCGCCGATTCGAGTTTAGAATTCGAGTTTTGCTACAGTAAAAAGCTCTCAGAAATAGTCACATCTAACTTTTTTGCTACAGTAAAAAGCTCTCACATAAAATCACATCTCAACTCAAATTATAAACTCGAATTAGCGAAGTGAACGGATGTACACAACCAAACACAAACTCAAGTTACAAGTTCAACTCAAGTTATAACTCAAATTATACTCAAGTTAAACTCCAAAAGAACAAGCCCCAAGTTTCTTTTGAAATCAATTTGTTAGCAAAACAGAAGGGATATACATCATACAATCGGATAAATTGATTTAGATATGATAAAATTTAAAATTAAAAAAAAAAGATAAGGGATAAAGGATAAATTTCAAAATAAATTCAAAATATTAAATACCCAAAAATTTGAACGGAAATAGTAGAAAATAGGCCAATATGAAAAGTTTAAGAAAGTATATAGGTCAATTTTTAGTTATAGAAATTAATAGGCCATAACTTATCAAGTTATGGTTCATAACCAGATAAGTTATGGATAAACTTGTCAAGTTATGGTTCATAGCCAGACAAGTTATGGATAAAAATTGTGAATAACTTGTCAAGCTATGGTTCATAACTAGACAAGTTATGGATGAAAACAATAATTTGGCCTATTTATTAACTTATGTAAACTATTGGCCTATTAATTTTAATTCATCTCAAGTCTTGACCTATTTATCTCTTTCTCTCAAATTTAAAATGCACAAATTGGGCTCTTTTATGGCCCCTAAGCCCAAAAAGATGAGCTCATTGTCTCATAAAACCATATGGTAATTAAATACAATTTTCAAATCCAAAATTCAAATAAAAAAAATCTCAATACCAAATTCAAAAAGGATCCTTTTAATTCCTCATAAGGTCATATACCGGGGAATTATCCAAATACAACTTTCAAATCTAAATTCTAAAGTAAAATTCCAAATTAAATTTTAAAACACTTTTTAATTCCTCATAATGTCATATACCGGGAAATTATCCAAATATAACTTTCAAATCCAAATTCTAAGGCAAAATTCCAAATCGAATTTCAAAAATATCTTTGAATTCCTCTTATGGTCATATATATCGGGGAATTCTCTAAAATCCAACACACAAGGTTTTACCTAATCTGCTGATTTCCGTCTATTTTCCCCGAGTTTTAGTTACGTCTACTTCTTGTTAACAGCGTTTTGTTCTGGCTGAAATACTTGTTAATTTTCAACTAATCTGTCGTAAACTTTCTGTTTTTCCAATGGAGCTACATTTCAAGAATTCGAGTAGCGGATTTGACGGGTTCGCATTGTGGTTTCTTGTTGGCATGATTGATGGCTATTTTGTTGGTTATTTGCTATGTCTATTCTTAGGATACTTTTACCAGAAAGTCTTTCATTTCATGTTCACATTTGATTATTCTATTGCCAAAGGCAATAATATTCTCAAATAGCTACACTAAAAAAGAGAAAAAAAATGTAATCTAGATACCTGGTTACGAAGCTGGTGGGTCTTCGTCAATCGGACAATGATTGTTCACTTTTTTAGGGCGCGTTGATGAGTCCATCCAAGTCTAAAGGTGAACCTTCTTACACAGAGTGATGAGCTTGTTATCAAAAACACAAAATTATGAGCAAAAAGTTTGGACAACGTGTAACTGAAGTACTAGAAGGTGGTTTATGTATATTTATTATTGACAGCAAATCTACTGTTTAGGTTGTTTTCGTGTGGACCCTTGGTGTATGGTCAGCTCCAAAAGCAGAAATATCTTCAATTTCTTGAAAGGGATTTTCCCCACAGGAAATCATAACATATGATGTGTGAACAGGTGATTTTTGTGGGTTCAGAAGCTGGCTCGTGTATTGACATTTCTTCGCCCTTTAATTCTGTTCAAAGTTATTTGTTGCGGAAGAAAGAACAAAGTAAGGAAAGAAGGAAAAAAAAAAGGAATTAGGGGCCCACAAAGTGAGTTTCCTATGGGATATAATATTTTGTTGAATAATTTTATAAGACGCCGGTGTTATTAAGCACCATCTATTAATATATAAGGTGAATTTTGAGCATGAACGCTACAGTTAAACTCATCTTTTTAGTGAGGGTGCTTAAAATTAACAGTGCTCTCAAATATTTTTCTATTTTGTTAGTACGAATAATTTGCGATTGATGGGCAACAAATTTGATCAAAAGTGCTGTGATGCCAAGCTGATATATGCTAAATACGTAAGCAAGGCACGCTTGTTGTATACCTGAAAGAACCATTCCACACACGTTTGATAATAATGGAAGAGGATGTTGACCTTGTCATTGCCCATAGCCGCACCAAGGAGATTTTACATTTATCTCACACACGCAAAAAAAAAAAAAAAAAATAAAAATAAAAATAAAGGAGAGGAGAAAATTTCCACATCACGTGGTCCATGATAGAACAAGCCTTTTCTCCACCAGCTGTTGGAATAGAAAAACAATAAAATATAGTCAATTATGGGATTTGGAAACAGAAAAACAAAGAGAAGACGAGAAAAAAAATGTGGTGGTGGTAATATAGGTTCATGCTTTGACTTTAATGTTGCGCAACACAACAAATAGTTTAGATTTACAAAAATGCCCACCAAAAAAATCCATTATGATAAGGTTGCATAAAGATATATAGCTGAAAAAGTGTACTGATAGCTAATGAATAAGAACACCAAACCAGCACCCAGGGGTGTTGTTGTCAGTTAAAAAAGTTTCATGGGACACAACACATAGGCTCTTTGCATTTAATTTGGAGTGACCTAGACAACTAGTTGTCAATCAAGACTTCTTCTTCTTCTCCTTGTACTCTCTTCTCCTCCTCCTCCTTCTTCCTCCTTTCTAGTCCATTTCATTGTAATAAATTCACACTTCTAGCACCTTTAATTTATCCTGCTTGTCTGCATAATTATTTGCAGCCATGGATATCGTGACCAAACCAACATTAATGCTTCTTCTCTTCCTGTTCTTTTCTCTCAAGACCAATCTCTCTCTTGGAGCTGATACCATCTCCGCAAATGAATCTCTCTCTGGAGACAAAACCGTTGAATCCGGAGGTGGGGTTTTTGTGCTGGGATTCTTCAAACCAGGTAATGCTTCAAAGTACTATATAGGCATGTGGTACAAACAAGTCACTCCCCAGACAGTTGTTTGGGTGGCAAATAGAGAGAAGCCAGTTTCAGATAGATTTTCTTCAGAGCTGAAAATCTCTGATGGGAATTTAGTTCTTTTCAATGAGTCCAAAATCCCGATTTGGTCCACTGGTGTGAACTACACCGGCTCTGCTTCTGTGCAAGCAGTTCTTCATGACAATGGAAACCTCATCTTAAATGATGGATCCAATTCGTCAATATCTTTATGGCAAAGTTTTGATAATCCTGCTGACACATGGTTGCCTGGTGGTAAAATTTCTTACAACAAAATCACCAAAAAACACCAGCGTCTCACTTCATGGAAGAATTCCGAGGACCCTGCCCCGGGCCTCTTCTCTCTTGAGCTTGACATAAGTGACAATTCATATATCATTCTCTGGAACATGTCAAACGAATACTGGACAAGTGGATCTTGGAATGGGGATATTTTCAGCGGGGTGCCTGAGATGAGGCGCAGTTATATCTATGATTTTGAGTTTGTTACGAATGATAATGAAAGCTATTTCACCTATTCGGTCTATAACACCTCTGCTATCAAAATATCCCGGTTTGTGATGGCTGTTTCGGGGCAGGTTAAGCAGCTGAATTGGCTGTCTAGCAACGGATGGAACTTGTTTTGGTCTCAACCGAGACAACAATGCGAGGTTTATGCCTTTTGCGGGGCATATGGAAGCTGCAATGAGGACTCATTGCCGTTCTGTCAGTGTTTGACGGGGTTTAAGCCAAAGGTGCAGAGTAATTGGGATTTGGAGGATTATTCTGATGGGTGCTCGAGGAATATAGAACTTCAATGCGGAAACAATAGCGTTGCTAATGGTGAGACAGATAAATTTCTTTCAATATCTAGCACGTCATTACCGGAAAATCAACAGTCCGTACATGTAGGGAGTTTAGGAGAATGTGAATCGCATTGCCTAAGTAACTGTTCTTGCACCGCTTATGCCTATGATAGCAGTGGCTGTTCCATTTTCACAGGAGAGCTCCTAAATGTGAAGCCGCTTTCAGCAGATGACGGCAATGGAAAGACTCTTTATCTTCGATTAGCAGCCTCTGAGATTCAGAGTAGTGGTAAAGATAATAAGGGAACCGTTATTGGTGTTGTAGTGGGATCAGTTGCAGGGGTAGCAGTTTTCCTTGCTGTTACTGTGTTTTTGATTTTGAGGAGAAGAAAGAAAACGATTGGAACAGGAAAAATGGAGGGTTCATTGGTGGCATTTGAGTACAAAGATTTGCAGAATGCAACCAAGAACTTCTCAGAGAAATTGGGTGGAGGTGGCTTTGGTTCAGTGTTCAAGGGGACATTAGCCGACTCAACTGTAGTAGCTGTGAAGAAGCTTGAAAGCGTTAGCCAAGGAGAGAAGCAGTTCCGATCAGAAGTCAGCACAATTGGAACAATCCAACATGTACATCTTATCCGACTTCGTGGGTTCTGCTCCGAGGGTAATAAAAAGTTGTTGGTATATGACTACATGTCGAACGGCTCTCTAGATTCTCACCTTTTCCATGGAAACAATTCGAATGTCTTGGATTGGAAAACAAGGTACCAAATTGCTCTGGGGACAGCAAGAGGGTTGGTTTATCTTCATGAGAAATGCAGAGATTGCATCATACACTGTGATATCAAGCCAGAAAACATCCTTTTAGATGCTGAGTTTTGTCCAAAAGTTGCAGATTTCGGGTTAGCCAAACTCATTGGAAGGGATTTCAGCCGGGTCCTGACAACCATGAGAGGAACAAGGGGTTATCTTGCTCCGGAATGGATTGCAGGCGTGGCAATAACATCCAAAGCTGATGTTTACAGCTATGGAATGATGCTTTTTGAATTTGTATCAGGAAGGAGAAACTCGGAGCAATTTGAAGATGGGAAAGTGAGGTTTTACCCATCTTTAGCTGCAAGCGTGGTTGTTGAAGGGGGAGATGTGTTGAGCCTATTAGATTCAAGGTTGGAGAGAAATGCAGATGCGGAGGAGCTTGAAAGAGTTTGTAGAGTTGCTTTGTGGTGCATCCAAGATGACGAAGCTCGAAGGCCATCAATGAGTCAAGTAGTTCAAATCCTCGAAGGAATCACGGACGTGAATCTGCCACCAATTCCACGGTCACTCCAAGTTTTTGGTAACAACCATGACAACGTCATTTTCTTTACTGAGTCATCGTCAAGCCAGAGTTCTCAGCCACGGAGTAACGCTTCAACTGCTTCCTCTCATACCAAGAGTACTACCTCTTCGATGAGCTCCAAGACCTAGACAGAAACAGATAGGAGCATCTTTGCCCTTGTTAGTTTCAGTCTCTGCTCTCAGTCTTTTGTTGTTCTCCCTTCTTTTGTGGGTTATCTTTGAGTCAATTGAATAATACAATATGTGTATGATATTAGAAGCTCTATCTGTAGAATTGAAGAAACGGATCCAACAAAAAGATGGAAAGGCCAGCTCATGTTTTCATAATCCAATTAGCTCCTCAATCTGAGCAGAATACTATCAGAACACCTTCAAGCCGATAATATAGTTTTCAATCATGGCCTCTTAGTTTATCTACGATGGTGTCTGTAATTTTTTTGGGGGTCTTTCTTCCCGAGTCTCTGGTACTGTAATAAAGCATATGTTGTTTTCATTAGAGCCTTGGGCTTTTGTATTTTTCCGCACAAGAAGAAGAAAAAAAGAATACAATATAGAAAGGAACAAAAATTAGCACCAGAGTATCTAGAGTACAATATAGAAAACAATACAGAAGAGACCATAATCTATAATAATACCATAAAAGAACTCATCTTTAAATTTATATCTTGCAGCTCGTATTCCAGTAGATTTTTTTTTCTTTCTTTACTAATTACTACCTTGTACCAACTTTTCTCTTTCTGGTATTTGTTGTAAAAACTTTCTACATGAGAAGTGGAATCCTTTTCTTTAGTACGAGGTCTAAAGATTCTGATATCCCTTCTTTAGAATCAAGCTTTACTGTCATATTTTACTGTCATAGACTCGAGAGAAGTAGAAGTCCAAATTCCCAATTACAGGCTCTTATCTGTTGGAGCAGACATAATTACTTAGGGAGAATATTTAGCGAGAATATTTCCAGTAAAATTTCCTTTTAACTTCTCATTTTGGAGTGTCATGGCTCTTCCAAAGAGAAAAGCAACTATAATTCCTAAATGCACATGACACTAAGAAAGTAAGTGCTTTTCTAATATTGCTTTCAAACACCACTACTGATGACTTGAAAAAGATGTTCCTGTGCACCATTTCTTCTCGCTCTTGCTCATTATGTTTTTCTCATTTGTTCTGTTTTTTGTTGCCCCATTTAGTGAATTAAAAAGAACTTGCTCAATTTAGAATAGTCTTAAGAGTGCTAGTTTCTGCTACACTATCTTCTTGAAAACTTGTTCCCCAAATTAATTTAATCCTCTGCATAAGGTATGTGCGTCTCCTTCCAAGTTCCCTTTCTTGTTATGCAAACGTACCATCTTTACAAATTTCCTTGGAAAAAAAGATGGAACGGGTGTAAGACCACTAATATCAGCTGCAAAGAAAGCTTTTTTCCCCTATTGTAGATAGAATTAGAAGATCCAGCCGAGTTTATGACATTCTAAGCAGCATGTTGTTATACAAGAAACATGTTCTTGTATACCATTTATCTTCCCTCTCTTGCTCACGTTGCATAAGGGTGTTAAAAAAAAATCTGGCGAACCGCCCAATCCAAATCAAACTAAATCAAATAGTTAATTACTTTGGATTATTGTGGTTTTGACAGATTTTCAGTCTAATTTTAACAGACGGTTTAGTTAGTGGTTTGGACTCCCTAAACCGCCAAAACTATCCAAAACACCTAACAATGCATCCAAAAATACACTTAATTTTTAATTTTAATTATATTTTTTATATAGATTAATTTTTACCAACCATAATAGAGATTCTACACGGGTTAAATACACCCTACTATATTTTTATTTTTTTGTATTAAAATTGGTGAGCGTTTCTATATTTGTTATTTTTAAATTATATTATAAACTTAAATCTAGTCTTTAGTATTATGGATTAACGATTTTATAATTTTTGTGATATATTAAAAACTTTTTTAGTCTTAAGCTTAAATTACCAAACTGAATCTTCCATAAATTTTTTTTTTTTTTTTTTGGTTTGGTAGTGGTTTGTACAGAAGAACCACTTAGCTCGATACTGATCAGAACCAAAAGTGGACGTTTCTGCTGAGCTATCTTTGAAATGTGTATCTTGCAATCTTGTTACTCTTAATTTAGTCATCCGCAACAGGTATGCATCTTTTCTTTACTCAGCTTCCCAGTATTTTGCAAATTAGGTCATCTACCAATTTCCATGTCTTGTTTCTACCTCAATTTTTTTCTTTCCAAGAGGTACTCAAGAGTAATGTGTTAGATTAGGCTTAGGCCCAAAGGTTTAAAATTAACAAAGCTCAAAGCTCATGATTCAAGTCTATAAAATTGAGTGGATTAGATTTAGCCAAGTGGCTAAATAGTGGCAAAGTAAAATGAATGACCACAAAGCCAATTCTTAACACAAGTTTTTCGTAGCCATAGTTCGTTCTTGGAGCTTATCCTATTCTCACCCTTCAAAAAGAATTCTTATAGTGCGAGAGAAATTTAATTTCTCTAGTTTTTCTTCTTTTGTGAGGTGCTTTTTCAATTTACATGAGAGAGTCGTTCTTATTGTTATCTCTGTGTAATTTAGAGAGAAAGTTGTAATCTCTATTTTTCATAGTGAAATCCTTCTACGCTTGTCCCATGGTTTTTATACCGTCACCTTTGGGGGGTTTTCACGTAAAATACTCTGTGTCCATATTATCTTTATTTTTACTCATTTCTTATTTTACCGTCAGATTTGCCAACAATTGGTATCAAAGCCATCTAGGCTTAGAGTGTTCAAGTGAAATTATTGTTCATGACGGAGTTACTGTTCAAGTATACGGTACTATTCACGTACATGGTACTGTTCATGGTGCGGATAAGTATGGCATAAGTAGGTTCTGCCTAGGAGGCTGGAACTTAAGTGGTCCGCTTGAGACCCTCCACGCCTTTCCTGGGAACTTGCTTAGCAGGGTGGTTCAGTTTAAGAGACTGTCCAGATCTATCCTTTGTTGATAGAATTGGTGTATGCATTTACAATCTTTCTTGAGAATTGCCTAGTCAGTACAGTTACTACTCGGGTACTATTCACAACTATAGTGAAACGATGTGAGTTAAACAAATCATGAAATGGCTTGAAAATTCAAAATAGAGAAGTTCAACGTAAGGAATTTCCTAGTCAGTACAGTTACTACTCTGATACTATTCACAACTATAGTGAAACGATGAGAGTTAAGCAAATCACGAAATGGCTTGAAAATTTAAAATAGAGAAGTTCAACGTAAGCAATTTCATGTTGTGGAAAACGAAGATGCAGGTAATTGTACGGAAGGATAATTGTCTGGTGGCTATCAGAGAAAGACCGTAGGAAATCACGGATGATGGCAAGTGGAACTAAATGGATGGTAATGCTATTGCCAATTTACACATGGCATTAGCAGACAGGGTTCTATCAAGCATGGTAGAGAAGAAAACAGCGAAAGAAATTTGGGATACTCTAACGAAGTTGTACGAGGCCAAGTCACTCCACAACAAGTTCTTCTTAAAGAGAAGATTGTACACTCTTCGGATGGTGGAATCTACATCGGTGACCGACCATATCAACACTCTAAATACTCTATTTTCTCAGCTAATGTCGTTGGATCAAAAAATAGAGGTAGGTGAACGTGCAGAGATTCTACTTCAAAGTCTACATGATTCGTATGATCAACTTATCATCAACTTAACCAACAATATCCTCACAGATCATCTACTCTTTGATGATGTTGTAGCCGCCGTTCTAGAAGAAAAAAGTCAGCGCAAGAACAAAAAAGGTTGGCAAGCTCACAGCAGGCAGAAGCTTTGACAACTGTGGCCCCAGTAGGAGTCAAAGTCATGCATGGTAGATCAAAATCTAGAAGTAAGAAGAAAAACATGAGATGTCACAACCGTGGCAAGAAAGGGCATTTCAAGAGAGAGTTTAGGGCTAAGAAGAGTGAGGAGAAGAATTCTCAAAGAAATGTGGCAAGTACCTCAAATGATCGTGATGTCTTATACAGTGAGGTAACAACAACTGCTGAAGGCAAATAGAAGCTCACTGATGCGTGGATACTGGATTCGGGAGCATCATGGCACATGACCACTAGGAGAGAATGGTTTCATCAATATGAACCAATCTCAGGAGGATCAATGTACATGGAAAATGATCAAGCCTTGAAGATCACTGGTATCGACACTATCAAGCTGAAGATGTACGATGGTACTGTTCGTACTATATAGAAGGTACACCTTGGGAAGGGGATGAAGAAAAATCTATTGTCTCTAGGACAATTAGATAATGGGGGTGCGAGACTCACATTGAGTGCTTGTGGTGATGAAGGCGAAAAAAGTTGCTGCAAATCTGTACATGCTTTTGGGAGAAACACATCAAGAGGGAGAGTTATCTGTTGCATTAACGAGTTTGGGAGAAGACTCAACGATGATGTGGCATTAGAAGCTCGGTCATATGTCGGAACGAGGTTTGACAATTCTCTCTAAACAGAAACTACTCCCTGGGCTAAGCTCGGTAAAATTACCATTTTGTGAGCGTTGTGTTACAAGTAACCAACATAGGTTAAGGTTCAACACATCAAAAGCTAAGAGCAAAGGCATCTTAGAATTGATCCACTCTAATGTTGGCAAGTACCGGTATCATCCCTCGGAGGGGCGAGATACTTTGTATCATTGATTGATGATTGCTCCAGGTAATGTTAGGTGTATCCAATCAAAAGGAAAGCATATGTTTTTAAAGTGTTTAAAGTTTTCAAAGCGCGGGTGAAACTTGACTCTTAAAAGAAGATCAAGTGTCTAAAGACTGACAATAGAGTAGAATATACAAGAGATGAGTTTGATGCATTCTGTCAAAAGAAGGCATCAAGAGGCAGTTCACGGTGGCGTACACTCCTCAGTAAAATGGAGTGATAGAGCTGATGAACATAACATTATTGGATAAAACAAGAGCAATGTTGAGGACTGCAGGTCTAGCCAAGTCGTCTTGGGTAGAAGCAGTTAAAACCGCCTATTACGTGATTAATTGGTCTCCACCAACTGTGATTGATCTAAAAACGCCAATGGAGATGTGGACTGCTAAGCCACCCGATTATTCTCAGTTACATATATTTGGAAGTCTTGTGTATGTCATGTACAATGACCAAGAAAGATCGAAGTTGGATCCGAAATCTAGAAAGTGTATCTTCTTGGGGTATGCTGTTGGTGTTAAGGGGTCTCGCTTGTGGGATCCCACTGCCCACAAGATTGTCATAAGTAGAGATGTCATATTTGTAGAGGATAAATTGCAAGAGAATGGAGACGATAGCACTTTAAAGGAGAAGTCAGAGACTACTACGGTTCATGTGGATGATAAGCAAGATGAATATCTAGTTTATTCTAAAGCAGTACCAGAGCACAAAGATCAAGAACTAGTCATGTCTGAGGCTTTCGAAGTTCGTCAGTCAACTCGTGAAAGAAGACCACTAGTTTGGCACTCAAATTATGTTATTGAGAGCAATGTTGCATATTGTCTTTTAACAGAGGCTATAGAGCCATCAACTTTTCAGGAGACAATCAAAAGCTCAGATGTATCTCTGTGGATGGCAGCAATGCAAGAAATTGAAGCCTTACACAAGAACATGATGTGGGATCTTGTTTCGCTACCACGGGGAAGGAAGGCCATTGGAAACAAATGGGTCTACAAGATCAAGCGCGATGGTAATAACCAAGTGGAGCGGTTTCGTGCAAGGTGAAAGGATATGCTCAAAAAGAAGGTATTGACTTCAACAAAACATTTTCACCTGTGGTTCGACTCACTATAGTTCGAGTAGTCTTGGCAATGTGTGCTATGTTTGACCTACATCTAGGGCAACTAGATGTGAAAACTAATTTTTTTCATGGAGATCTTGAAGAAGAGATTTATATGCTCCAACCAGAAGGCTTTATGAAAGTAGAAAAAAGAGAACTTGGTTTGCAGGTTGAACAAATCTCTATACGGTCTCAAACAGGCGCCGGTGTGTTGGTACAAGCGATTTAATTCCTATATCATAAGCCTTGGGTACAACAGACTCAGTGCAGACCCTTATACGTATTTTAAGAGGTTTGCTCATAAAGATTTCATCATTTTGTTGTTGTACATGGACGACATGTTGGTTGCAAGCCCTAACAAAGATCGAGTGCAAGGATTAAAGGCACAGTTGGCTAAGGAATTTGATATGAAGGACTTGAGACTAACGAACAAGATTCTAGGGATGCAAATTCACTGAGATAGAAATAATAAGAAGATTTGGCTTGTGCAAAAGAATTAATTGAGGAAGGTCTTGCAGCGCTTCAACATGCAAGATTGTAAGCCAATCTTTACCCCCTTCCTGTTAATTTCAAGTTATCTTCCTAGATGTGTCCTAGCAATAAAGCAGAGAGGAAGGAAATGTCTCGCATGGTATATGCATCAGCAGTGGGTAGCCTAATGTTCGCTATGATCTATACAAGACCAGACATTACACAAGTAGTAGGAGCGGTTAGTAGGTACATGGCGAATCCTGATAAAGAGCATTAGAGTACTATCAATAGGATCCTGAGATACATTAAGGGTACCTCAGATGTTGCATTATGTTATGGACGATCGGAGTTTATTGTCAGGGGTTCTATGGATTCAGATTTTGCAGGTGATTCAGATAAAAAAAAATCCACTACAGGCTATGTGTTCACACTTGCCGGAGGAGCTGTAAGATGGATTTCAAAATTGCAGTCAGTTGTAGCATTATCTACATGAAAAACAGAATACGTGGCGGCTACACAAGCTTGTAAGGAAGCAATTTGGATTAAAAGGTTATTAGAGGAGCTCGGGCACAAAGAAGGGAAAATTCTTTTGTTTTGTGATAGCTAGAGCGCCTTGCACATTGTAAGGAATCCAGCCTTTTATTCCAGGACGAAGCACATATGAGTTCAATTTCACTTTGTTCGTGAAGTAGTGGAAGAAGGAAGTGTGGATATGCAGATGATTCACACCAAGGAAAACTTAGCAGATGCATTGATCAAGCTGGTAAATATTGACAAGTTCAAGTGGTGTAGATTCTCGTGTGGCCTAGCAGAAACATAAGCAGCATGACAGTGTCAAGGTAGAAAGGATGGTGTGGAGACATGATTGATTCTCAATCAAATCTCGAAGTGGGAGAAATGTTAGATTAGGCTTATGCCCAAACGCTCAAAATTAGCAAAGTCCAAGGCTCATGATTCAAGTATACAAAATTATGTGGACTAGATTTAGCCAAGTGGCTAAATGATGACTAAGTAAAATGAATGGTCACAAATTGACCAATTCTTAACCACAAGTTTTTCGTGGCCACGGTTTGTTCTTGAAACTTTTATAAGGGGGCTTGGAGGAAGGGCTTAAGCATCTCAGTCTCACCCTTCAAAGAGAATTCCTATAGTTTGAGAGAAATTTAATTTCTCCAGTTTTTTATTCTTTTGTAAGGTGTTTCTCCTATTTATATGAGAGAGTGGTTCTTATTGTTCTCTCCGTGTAATTTAGAGAGAATGTTGTAATCCCTATTTTTCATAGTGAAATCCTTCTATACTTATCTGTGATTTTTACCCTCTCTTTTAAGGGTTTTTTTACATAAAATACTTTATGTCTAATTATCTTTATTTTTATTTATTTCTTATTTTACCACCAGATTTGTCAACATAATGCACGGTCTTTATTTATTAATTTCAAGTAGGAAATTATAGGTGTAGTCAATTTCTCTGTTCAAAAGACAATGGTATCTCTCTCTCGACATCTCTCTGTTTTTTTTTTTTTTTCCTTCAGTTCACACTCATGAGTGTCACGTGTTTGGAAAGTCCAAGCAAAACATTCACATATAGACTAATTCGTACGATGGTTAATTATAAGAAAGAACAAAATGAATGTTTCTTGGTACACTATTCTTAATAATAAGTAATTTTGCTTCAAATATCTTGATGAATTCCGCGGAACACGTTATCGTTCTAAGAGTAGTCTGAATTCCAAAGTATAAAACTAAGTGACCATTGATCTTGTGGAGCACTAAGATTTCTATCTTTCCAAGTTTGCTCTGTCTATGTTCTAAGAGTCAAAGCAAGTGAGGTTGATGTTATGTGGGTTTTGAATTAGATCTCTATTCCTATTCGCTGGATGGTCAATGTTGGTAATAAGTTTGTGTCTTATTTCTTCATTTTTTGGTCAGTTTTCCATTTCTAGAATACTATTCCTAAGTCCAGCCCACCATGATGATGATTGGTTTATAATTTAAACCATTAAAGGGGATTGAAGGGTCAAAGAAGACCTTTTCAAATCACATTCCAGAAGTCAAACCACAAAAAGAAAAGAGAGATCCTATCATGCTTGAAAAAAGGCAATGCATTGGTATGATATTACTAGCATCAATTTCCTAAATATTTCGACGAGCTAGTATTTATGAAGTTCACATTTCAATCCTTTTTTCTTTTGTGGAATTTTTATTCTTCAATCTCGACTGCGGAAAAACTTTGAAGATGGAAATAATCCATGACACATAATAAGCTTGGGTAGAGAGATATCATCTTATGTTTGATAGAGATTATGAGCTTATGTTACAGCGTATAACTTGAAGAGACATGACTTAGCTTAAGTCCTAGTAAGGATCATAATTCGATGTTTTAGAATTCCAATTTTAGCCTTCGACGTTGTTGTGGGGTTAGAACTACGTTTTCTATTGAATCTTCTTCGCTATTGGTCTTCTTCGCTATTGGAGGTGGCTAGGATGACAATGGACTTAGTCACTTGATCAGTATTATCATCTCACTTTGACCAAATCAAATTCTTATTAAACAATGGAGTTGAAACTTTCTTGCTATATAATAACTTAACCGCTTCATATCTTGGCAAACGACCTTAAACATCTGTCTAAAAACTGGAACTTGTTTTCTACCCTGTCTCCACATTGACACAAAAGGCCTACCTTCATTCGAAAAATTTACGCAGCCATGGATGTGAACACCAACCCGATATCCATGCTTGTTCTTCTCATCTTATGCCTATTTCTCAGAAGCCATATCTCGCTTGGAGCTGATACCATCTCTGGAAACCAATCACTCTCTGGTAACCAGACCATTGTCTCTGAAGATGGCGTCTTTGAACTGGGATTCTTCAAACCCAGTAATGCTTCAAAATACTACATAGGCATGTGGTACAAACAAATCACTGAGAAGACAGTAGTTTGGGTGGCGAATAGAGAGAAACCAGTCTCTGACACATATTCTTCAGAGCTACAAATCTCAGATGGTAATTTAGTTCTCTTCAATGAGTCCAAAGTCCCAATTTGGTCCACAAATGTGAACTCCACCAGATCTCCTGAAGTGAAAGCAATTCTTTTGAATGATGGAAACCTTGTGTTAGAAGATGGATCGAATTCGTCAAAACGACTATGGGAAAGTTTTCTTAATCCAGCTCATACATGGCTCCCTGGTAGTAGAATTGGGTATAACAAGAAGACCAATACAAAGCAACTCCTCACTTCATGGAAGAGTTCAGAGGATCCGGCACCCGGCCTCTACTCCCTTGAGATAGTTCCCAATGGCAAATCTTATATAATACGGTGGAATAGGTCTCGACAGTATTGGACGAGTGGAGATTGGAATGGAGCTATTTTTAGCAAGATCCCAGAGATGAGGCTCAATTATATCTACAATTTCAGCTTTGTCCCAAATGATGAGGAGACCTATTTCACCTATTCTGTTTACCCCTCTTCTCGTACAATATCTAGATTTGTGATGGATGTTTCAGGGCAAATCAAGCAACTATCACTTTTGTCTGACAACAAATGGAATTTGTTTTGGGCTCAACCAAGACAACAATGCGAAGTTTATGTTTTTTGTGGGGCATATGGCAGCTGCAGTGAGAAGTCCTTGCCCTTTTGTCATTGTTTGACCGGGTTTGAGCCAAAGATGAAGAGTGATTGGGATTTGCAGGACTATTCTGGTGGGTGCACCAGGAAAACCAAACTTCAGTGTGGAAACGACAATCCAACAAATGGCGAGAGAGATGGATTCCGCAAAACTCCCAACGTTTTGTTGTCTGAAATTGAACAACCTGTCCAAGTAGGGAATACTACGGCATGTGAATCAACCTGCTTAAATAACTGCTCTTGCACGGCTTACGCTTATGACAACAGTGGTTGTATGATTTGGATGGGAGATCTCTTGAATGTTCAACAGCTTGAAGAAGATGACAACCGTGGAAGAATGCTCTACATTCGGGTAGCAGCTTCAGAGTTGAAGAGTTCTACAAACGAGTTTAAGAGTACTAAAAGTAGAAAGGGACTAATTGTTGGTGTTGTAGCGGGGTCAATATTTCTCCTAGGCCTTATTTTGTTTTTTATTTTGAGACGAAGAAACAAGGTTTTCGGAACAGGCAAAGTGAAGGGTGCATTGGTGGCATTTGGTTATAGAGATTTGCAGAATGCAACGAAGAACTTTTCGGAGAAATTGGGCGGAGGAGGCTTTGGTTCAGTGTTCAAGGGTACTTTGCCTGACTCTACTATGATAGCAGTGAAGAAGCTTGAAAGCGTTGGCCAAGGGGAGAAGCAATTCCGAACAGAAGTCAGCACAATCGGGTCAATACAACACGTTAATCTTGTTCGACTTCATGGTTTCTGCTCTCAAGGTACTAAAAGGTTGTTGGTCTATGGTTACATGTCTAATGGATCTTTAGACGCTCACCTTTTCCACGAGAAAAATTCAAATGTTTTGGTCTGGGAAACAAGGTACCGAATTGCTCTAGGGATAGCGCGAGGGTTGGTTTATCTACATGAGAAATGTAGAAACTGCATCATACATTGTGACATTAAGCCTGAAAACATCCTTTTGGATGACGAATTTTGTCCAAAAGTGGCAGACTTCGGGTTAGCAAAACTCATGGGAAGGGACTTCAGCAGGGTCCTTACAACCATGAGAGGGACAAGAGGATATCTCGCACCAGAGTGGATTGCAGGAGTGGCAATAACATCGAAAGCCGATGTCTACAGCTACGGGATGATGTTGTTTGAACTGGTGTCAGGAAGGCGAAACGCTGAGCAATCTAAAGACGGGAAAGTCAACTTCTTCCCAACATTGGCTACAAGCATATTAGTGGAAGGAGGCAACGTCCTTAGCCTATTAGACCCGAGGTTGGACGGTAACGCGGACATAGAAGAGCTTGAAAGAGTGTCTAAAGTTGCTTGTTGGTGCATCCAAGATGAAGAATCTCATAGGCCATCAATGGGTCAAGTAGTTCAAATCCTTGAAGGAATTATGGAGGTGAATTTGCCCCCAGTTCCGGGATCTCTCAAACTTTATGTGGACAACAAGGAGAGCATAATTTTCTTCACGGAGTCCGAGTCAAACGAGAGTTCCTCATCAACTTCATCCCAGGCCAAGGGCACAAACTCTTCTATCTGTGCCAGCTCTTGAGGCGAGATCAAAACATAACAACAAATTCTATTATGTCTCTTTTTCAGTTTCCTTTCCATGCTCTGCCTTTCCCCTGTTTTTTAAGGCAATGAATAGTTTTGTAATGACTTGTATTAAGGTTGTAAAATTAATGTGTTCCCATAGTATAATTGTCCATTAGAGCTTCGTTGCTATCTAACAGTTTCTCATCGCCAAATTATATGGCGACTTTTAGAAACTTTTTATTTATTATTTATTTATTTTATTGCCTTTAAGGTTTTTACTTCCCTTTTTTGTTTCCAATACAACCTGATGAGTTCTGTTAACAATAAGGATCATATAAGCTTTGGGTGTTCGGGAGCTTGATTGTCTTACTATTAACTTACTGGAAGCATGCCAATCAAGCTCTATAGTATCAAGTTGTCCTTGCTGTGATATTCAAAATGAGTTTGTACTACCTTTTACATAATATATATATATATATTTACGACGAGAATGAGCAACTAACAAAAGAAAGAACTAGACATCTCAAGGTAAGCACCCTTTAGATCCTCCATCCTGGACCAAGCTCCTCACTCAAATTTTATTAAAAATAAAAATAAAAAAATTTCTTGATAACCCTATAAAATAGAGTTATTTCTTCTCTTATTTACTTCTAAATTGACTTTGTTCATAATATATTTTATGACTGAAGAATTTATGAAATTAATATAAGTATTCTTGAATTCTGTAGTAAATTTTATGTTAAGTTCATGTTTTATGAGTAAGTAAATTCGGTCGATAAATTTTCGCCGTTATTTAAGGCATAAGATTTTTTAGTCCGTATACAATTTAAGAATCTTAATTTCAAAAATCTCCAAGTACAGTACGGTATTAGCAGCGTACCGAGGAACGCTTTGACATTAAAGAGAAATTCTTAATTGCCGAACAGATAAGTTGAAGTCTAACAGTCGGAATATTACGTGATTAAGAGTTTAGTTCGATATTGAACTATTCGGAGAATTGGTATCGGATTATAAATAAACAGTAGAAAAGGAACCGTTAGATACTAAAACTTCATGTTAGCTAAGTTAATCTCCTACAGTCGGTATAAACTTTGATTGCTTGAAATGGAATCTTAAGGGATAAGATCAAAGTACAAGATAAGATGTGAATTTATGGAGATTAGACATGAGTTGATAGTGATTTGATGGAGTAATTATGAGATTCTTTTCTCTCTTTTTTTCTCCGCTTATGGCCGGCCATGCATAGGGGAATAAACCAAATTTTTTTTGTTAATTAAGCTAGCTTAATAGGTTTAATTAAGAGCTAAGAGGAGATTAAGCAAAAGTCTATAAATGTCAAGTCATTAGTGCAAGCATCAATTTGGTCTATTTTGCACATATTCTCTCCTTTCCTACACACAAAAACCGGCCCCTCTTTCTCTCCATTTCTTCTCAAATTTTTCTCAAACTCTCCTAATCCTAAGCCATTAGCAAACATTAGAAGAAGAAGAAGAAGATCAAAGTGTCCTAGGAGGAGTCTAGCCAAGGATCTTTTTTCAAGGAGGAAGACCAAGGTGATCAAAGTGTTCTAGGAAGAGTCTAACCAAGGATTTTCTTCAAGGGTATAAACTCTAAACCTTTCTCCTCTATTTTTCTACCAAAGTTTAAGTTGTAAATTATAGATGTAATTTGTGGTTCTTAAGGAAATAAGTTTGTAATAAAGGTTTGTGAATTTTATGATAGTTTTGGTGTGTTTTGAGGTTAGTTTGATTAGTGGTATTTTATGATTGGTTTAAGTTTTGTTTATTTTGATTAGAGGAAAAATTTTTCTAGTTACTTTGAACGCGGAAATGAGGATCTTACAGCGAGATTTTTTAGTAACTATAAGTTTAAACTTATAGTTCTCGATGTTTTGAACGTTTTTCCGTAACTGTGAAAAAACTCAGTTTTAATTCTAAGCGCAAGTTTTAAGCTGCTTTTCAAAATACTGCAAAGCTGTCCAAAAAACTTTTTCAAAACTGGCAGCCACTATTTGCAGCCAAACGAGCCATTTAGAGGCTGAATCTCAGTTTTCTCAGAACACGAAAGTTTTAGATCTCGACGAGACAAAGAATTTTTGTGAAGAACAAATTTTTAGAATCCGACTCTAAGATGCTGTAAATTATAGATTTCTAAAACTGCATAGTTTTAACTGAAAAAAAAACTAACACAGTTTTAGTTCCTAACAAGAAGAGTTCATCAAAGAACCCGAGATGTGATTTCAGTAAAATTCTATAGTTTTAGACCTTGCTTTAACAAAAAAATTCATGAAGAAAGTTTTCGAGAAAACCGTTTCTAAGATATAGTTTCACGGTGGTTTATAAACTAATTATAAAATGACTTATGAAATAGTTTCAAAAGTCGGTATTGGACAGAAAATTTATTTAGGACTGATAATGAGACTTTAGTACTTGTAACCAAATAAATGTGCAATCGTTTGTTTTATGAAAATCGAACAATAGTTTCTTTTAAAACCTTAATAGCTTTCGAGCAAAAACATTCAAACGAGAACTTACGAGCCCAATATGTTAGCCCCGTAGAATTTTCCAGTTAGAATCAGGTCCAACGCCTGTATTAGTTTAAAAACTCTCACTCAAGTCTAAATTTTAACGGTCTAGAGTTAGAACGTCTTTATTAAGTCTCTAGGCTAAATTGGGCCTTAATAATAAAACAAGCCTAATAAGGTAATTTATGGGGATTAGTTGCTAGATTGGATAATTAATTAATCAGAAATTAATTTTTAACCTAGGCATATGTATGTTAAGGGTAATTAAGAAAAATATGATTATAAGAATTTAATAAATTTGATCCTTATACTAAATACGAGATTTTACAATGCTTTAATAAAGAAAAGGAAAACATGCCTTAAATAAAGGATTAAATTCCTTTATAAGCTTGCTAAATTAGAACAGCAAACAACACTTAATCTGACACTTTCAATGGGTGTTCATTTTCAGAAATAAGAAGAAAAATAATAGATTATTTTGGCGAATAGTGAATTCTAGCTCTGTGAAACAGGTAAATAGGGATCTCGCATACAATATGAATATATTTTAAATAAAATGTTACACATGATATATATGCATGTTTATGCTTTATGTCATAGTATGCAATGCCATGCTATGCCATGCTGCATACTCCTTAATATGTCAAGTGAAACTTATAAGAATAATTTCAGTTGAGTGTCGTATCAGCCTCTAAGAGAGAGGTAACTAAGACTCCGTGAGGGAGATAGAAAAAAAAGAATATAGTAAATTAAATCATGGTGTCGTTGGGGACCTTGCAAACCCTCACGTCCCGATGATTGTGCGCAAATGGTATGAGCACTCGGGCCCATCAGTAAGCAAGATAAGATCATATAATTAAGTCTTTAATAAGTCATGATTATAATTAAGCATAATTGACTCATGCATATTTGTTCATGTGAACTTACAGTTATTTTATGAGAGATAGTTCCTACTTACTGAGCGAAAGCTCATTATAGAATATTTATACTGGGCGTAAGCAACCTGCATCTAATGCCTAATGGACTGATGGTGAGGCAACGGATGAACGATTTGGAGATTGGGGAATTGATACAACTTGTAATTATTTCCGCAAAAAGTTTTATGTAATAAATACTTTTGCTAATTAGAACTCTGAAACTATAATTTAAATGATGTAAGTAAACAAGACTTGAAGATCAAGTATATACATATATATTAAAAGATGAATATGTTGAGATATAAATATTTTGTCATAATTAAGAAAGAAATTCAAAATTTATGTTTACTATAATAGTTTTAAAAAAATGTTCTGTAAATTTTAAGAAATTCTAGCAAGTATATATGTTAAGGTTAGTATAGTGATGGCTACTTAGAAAGATTGTCACAGTTTGAGATTTTTATTTGTTTTATTTGATTTTTAGTTTAGTTTTCTTTCATTTTATTTTGCTTCATTTTATTTCATTATTAGTTTATTTTAGCTAGGTTTTCCCTCTAATTATTCAATTATCTCATTTGTGTAGGTTAATTAGGTGAAATGGCTTTGGAATCGTATATGGGATTAAAAATTCAAAAAGAAAGTCGGGTTGAGGTTCCCACACGTGCACACAATCGGACGTCAAAGTCCCCATAAGCGTTCCTTTGCTCCAGCCAACCTTATTGCGCCACATGTCCTTGCTTGCGTCAGCCAGCCCTAATTGCCTTCCTCCTCTTGTGTTGCTGACGTGAATCAAAGGCTATTTATAGCCTATTTTCCAAGCCGCAAGGTGAGGGAGGAGATCCCTTTGCACGAATTTTTCCAACACATAACCAAGAGAATTAGAGCTCCCTTGGAGAGCTGATATAGAAAATATTTGGGGAAATTATTTTGGAGAATTTTGGGATCACTTCTTTAGGATTATTATTTTTAGGTTTAGGATTTTTAAAGCAGAAAATATTTTGAAGAATAAGAACTGAAGATTGAAAATTAGAGAGTAAAGTCTGGAGATCGGTGACACTTCTATATGAGTTTTTTTTTTTTTTAATTTTCTTTTCTTTATATTTTTGTGATTTGAAATATTGGAACCCTTAGTCTATTTTAATTTAATTATGTTTTAGTTTTATTTTGTTAGAGCTCTGATTTAGTCTGCTATGATATTTTAATTTCTTTTATTCGAGTTATTTATTTTTATTTTCTAAGATTGACTGTTCATCATTTTTTTAATGCTTCTAATTAATTGGCCACTAATTAGATGATTGGTTAATTATAATAGAACTGAAAGGGAAATTACGTGTCTAGTTCATTGTGTTGAATACCAAAAATTGCATGCAAGAGAGGAATATACTTGCATGGTTTGTGTGGTCGCTACATTAAAATCATAAAATTTAATGACTGCTTGATTGTTGTAATTCACATAGGAATATAGTGGGTTAGCAATTGAGAGGATTTTTGGTGTAACTTGGAAGAGAGCATTGAATAAATTAAGGATTTTCGACTGTCATCTTGGATAATAAATTTGAATAATGAAAATTAAGAAATTAAAGTGAGTTAATTATGGTGTAATTAGTTGCTCTAGTGTTTTAATTATTAGGTTTTAGGATTTTCGACTGTCATCTTGGATAATAAATTTGAATAATGAAAATTAAGGAATTAAAGTGAGTTAATTATGGTGTAATTAGTTGCTCTAGTGTTTTAATTATTAGGTTTTATTTTTTATTATTTTAG